ACTACTACTCCTGCTGCTGCTGCTGGGGCTGCTGCTGCTGCTGCTCTGCTGTCGTATCGTTTTCCTGACATAGCACCGTCCCTTCCCACTATCAAGCAGGCATTGCTAAGTTGCTCACTCCAGGTCCTCATGGTGGCGATTGTGCTTCTCGCATACACGGACGGCCTGCAGTGGGACGAGGCTGGCACGGAGACACAAAGCGGGATAGGGCAGCTGTGTGTCAATTCATTGGATTTCGCTGTCAGGTTTACGATGCGATAGATGTATTCGCCGGCAAAGCCGTCCTGACTCATGCCCTGCTGTCGTCTGGATATGCAACAGCAACCCTGGATATCTTGCATTGGTCACAACATGTCCAGCGTCGCTTGGATATAGGCAAGCCAGTTTCATGCAAGAGCAACCCCCTCGATCTGAGAACACCTGCGGGCTTCGCGCTTCTAGCCTGCAACAGCTGACAGCCAACCTCGTGTGATTCCGTGTGATGTTTGTGCACACGCGGATGTAAGCTCGAGCTTCTCAGGTTGCTTCTATCGACCATTTTGAGGGCAAACCCCAGCACAATGGTCGTTTCGTTTGGCTTGGTTTGCAGCAGCTTCGTCTCTGTTAGCCGTGGCAGCACCGGCCGCTCATTCTGGTTTCCTGTCGGGAATGAGTCGGGGAGCCCTTCTGTGAGGGATGGAAACCTCCTCGCCGCAAGGACCGGTTACACCGTTTGTTTTATTCCCTTAATTCCATCCCCTCTCTCTCTCTCTCTCTCTCTCTCTCTTTCTATATCGTTCTCTCTCCGACATCAGTCTCTTTGTTTGCTGCTGTTTTCCGCAGAATAATAATACAGTCCTCACGAGCTTTCTGTCTCTCTCTCTCTCTCTCTCACTCTCTCTCTCTATCTCTCACTCGCTCTCTCTCTCTCTCTCTCGCGCGCTCTCTCTCTCTCTCTCTCTCTCTCTCGATCTCGATGTCGATCTTTGTCTCTATCCTATATCTCTCTCTCTCTCTCTCTCTCTCACCCCCTCCCTCCCTCCATGTCCACTTGTCAATCACCAATAGCATCAAGCCACAGGACGCTGCTGGCAATGCAGCTGATACAAGCTCTGGGCGGAGTATGGGTCCTGGAGCAACCTTCTACCTCACTGGTCTTCAGGTTGCCGAGATTTCAAGAATTTCTCCGCTCATCAACCGAGCCTTCACTTTCAGCTAGCAAGCTTGTTCTGCAAGAAAGACAGTTTGAGAGGGTGCATTATAGGCTTTGTTCATGCCATGTCAGAATCCTGGTGTACATACTTCCTTTATCGTTAGCCATATATTTCTGTTATTCGAGGTCATACTCTATCTAATTAGGTGTGTGTGTGTGTGTGTTTGCGACGTATATGAACACTAATCCAATGCATCCGTACACACATACACATACATACATACATACATACATACATACATACATACATACATACATACATACATACATACATACATTGCATCCTGAAGCAACAAAACAGTCTGGAATGATAGGTGCTTCC